ATACACCACTCATCATACACCACTCATCATACACCACTCATCAGACACCACTCATCATACACCACTCATCATCCAGTTAGCTCTAGTTTCAAGAGCTCTAGCTCCAGTTAGCTCTAGTTGACAATTTTTAGCTTCTTTGCTTACTCAAAAGTTGTCATTTCGATTACTTTCTGGAGACATCAAAACACGTGTTTAGAGAGGTTGACAAATTTGAGCTAATTAGCTTCGTGATTCGTGTCTAGACAAGCTATCGCATCATAGTTAACGTCTAGCTCCAGTTAGCTTTAGTGGAGCTAGAGCTAGAGCTAGAGCTATGCTTCACTCATCACTCATCACTCATGCGTCTGACTGAGGGACACGAGGGGCACGCATGGTGGAAAGAACCGGGACACTCCTATAGGTCAATTTGTTCTTATAGGAAACTTCCGCTCCCGGCTTGCCCGGGAACTACTTGTAGCTAAGGGCATTACTAGTAGTAGCAAGAAGCTACTAGTAACAGTCTCAGGAGGCTGGGCGGCGATGCAACAAGAAGTAAGCGGATAACCATGCGGGTCATCGTCGTCGATTCAGGAGCAGTGGATGAGACTGGCACACAGCTGCCTGAAACCAGGTATGGCCAGTGTGGCTCTCGGAACTGTGTTCATTAGACATTTCACCCCCTGCAGGTGGCAGTGCTACGCTCATGATAGGCAATGGTGATTCTTCACGGGAGAACGGCACGCCGCCCAGTACATTTCACCCCTTGCATTGCAAGAGGGCGAGCCTTTGGCATGGTTCAGGTTTTGATAATTTGTCCTCCACTGTTGCGGCTGCGGAAGCTGTGGGGTTCGAGATGCGTGGATGGGCAACAATCGAGTCCTGCGCAGATGAGACTCACAGGAGACGTATAATACATGTATTTAACATATATTATATATATATATATACTCTAAACTTGGATGCGGTTGTTTGTGAATTTCCATTGGTTTTGCAATGAATGTATGTGTTCGTGTTCTCGCTCTCTAGGACCAAGGGCATGCAAAGAACCGAGCACATGCTGCACTTGGTAAAAGAGTTCTCTTTGCCCTGAGCAATTGCGGCTTCGTGCTTTCTTGCAAGTATATCGAAGATCTTGCTTGCTGTTCAGCAATGGTAGCCTGGCAGACGGACATGGCCACACAGTTTGGAAGGTACACTTGCCTTTCCTATATTCACTCCAGGAGCGTGACGGAAGAGCAGCTTGATCGGTTTCGGTTTGGTCAGCCCTTTTGGCTTTCCTCACGTAGACACTTCAATGTGAAACAACTAGCCGCAACATAATTACTCGTAATATCACTTGTCGACGTGACATGTGACATGGGGTTCCAAGAAGCAGCACTGCGCACACCCAACATCACTGAAACTTGCTACGAAGTGGAGAGGACAAGTGCTAACATGTCTCTGGCCAAGGTCAGAGGTGTACTCGCTCGGCATGGTTTTGTAACCTGCTCAGTTTCGATTGTGTAGAACACTAGTGATGCAGCTCGGAACAACCTAGGCTGGAACTTCTGGTCAACAGACCACCTGCGTTGGCATCCTCACATGGGGATATGGTCGGGCCCCTGCCGCCTGCTGTAATTGCCCAGGGGTCAGCGTCGCATGTCCGGCATTGCAAGGAATGATGTTGGCCAATTCGTCATTGGTGTCGCTGTTCTGGGATTTAGGAATTGTCCTGCGAAAGCAAGGTCTTTCCTTTGCTGGAAGCCGTGCAGCCCTATGTCGGGGGTGCGCATGCCCGCTTGATGCAGTGTCCGCCTCCTCATGGTATGCACTTGATGCATTTGTTTTTGTGTCGACAAGTTCCCGCACAATGCCATTCGTGCTATCAACACTTCTGCCACAAGGCCTTGATCCTGGAGCGCGGCCCTTATTCAAGCTGCTGTCAGCATCAGAAGGCTCAGCAGATGCGACTAGCTCCAAAAACACTGGGGTGGCATTTATAGGTTGTGGCATTGACTTCCCAACGCCGACTGTATATGAATGCTTTGTATCATGTTGCAGTTGTCTTGTGCTTGGGCCCTTATGTTTTCAACCAAGAGTGAGTTTGCGGTGGCTCATCACCGTGTGACCGGCACAAAGAACCTTGAGTAATGAAAGAGTGCTTGGACAGTTTATTTGCCCAAGGCTTGCTGGCCACAGCAAGTGGCTGCTGAATTTGGAGACTTGGAACCTGGGCAAGACTTGGCGTGTTTTTGTTTGAGTTATTTAGTTTTCTCTTCGAACACGTGTTCTTGTTGGCTTTACTGTGCTTGACGGCTTCATTTGCCTAAGTCATTCATCATTTCGATTGCCTGATTTGAGAGCTCACACATTTTCAAGGCTTTGGGCTGTGGCGGCCCGAGAGATGTCACATTTGTTGTGATTGTGATCGCAGATGGATGGGCAGCAAATGTAACAGGCTTGGCTGCCTATGGTTATGGCTATGGTTTGAGCCCCAGGCTTGGATCCAGAGTCTCGCCGGCGACCCAACTTTGCAAGTGTGATGGCCTGAGATGCTCGAGCTTCTTGCAAGAATGTGCAAAACGATGGTTATGGGACATGCATCATGCCACGAAGTCTTTCATGAAACATGTTACAGGTGCACTGCCTGCCAGAGCTTGCTCAGGTCGTCAGATCACTCCATAGACTGGTGGCGTTGAATCCGCGGAGGTTACTGCCCTCGGCATTGAGTTATACAATGATACATCAGAATGGCCGTGCGCCCGACTGAAAGTATGTGGAACAGGTCGATGGTCATGACGAAGGAGGTTGCAGAAGCTGAGTTTGAGTGAAATCTCATGTTCAAACACTTCGGGGAGACCTGGTTCCCAATGCATCTCACCCATCACAAAAAAAGCAATCAGACGGTGGAGCATGGTCAGGATCCAATGCATGGCGCCAGCAGCCCGCCTGACTGGCATGCTTCCGACACTTCATTGGGCTGGAGCCATCGCTATTAGGTTGGAGGCCATCGCTAGTGGGTTGGGGGCCATTGCTAATAGAAACAAGAAAAGAACAGGAAGAACTCAGCACTCTTATCCTGCCAGGTCGGACGGGGCCGGCTCACCGGAAGGCACTGAACCCTGTTTCATACCATCCTCAATTTTCAGAGCGCACTGCTCCAGAAACCACGTCGTGAGGTGAAGCTGGAACCAATGGATTTGGTGGGATGCCAAGTTGTGCTGCCAGTCCCAATGTGCTTAGATGATCATTTGAGGTTCTCAACATCAACATGCTTTACCAAGCTTTACCAAGTGTCTGGCCTGACTGATTTCACAATTGATTGAGGCTGGGCCGCCTGGTGGCGCTGAATCCATTAAGGAGGTGGAACACCCTTTTGGCAAGCCGATCCGTGACGCTCCATGCAGAATTAGTTTCTCACCCAATTAAAGTCCGCTATGAGAGCGGATTTGCATCAACTTTGACTCAATGCCACCGGTGATTCGATGTCATAATGTCGGTGTGAGTGTTGCATTATGTATGCACGGGTGCTTTCAACTTCTTCTTGGGGGGGGGCAGGACAGCATAGAAAAACAAACTTGTGCCTTTTGCGGCTTGCTGATCGTTCTTGACTGTTTCTTTGGTGAATTTCAACTCTCGACTGTTCGCCTTTGCAAGACACGTTGAACGAACAGTTTTCCCATGTTTCAGTTTGGCGTATGTGTTTTCAACCTCAAATTCATGCACAGGTAGAACTCGCCTACAAACAGAATCTTATGAATCTTTGCAAATTCTAACAGACGCCTCTTTGTTGACCGTCTCTTGTTGTTTTTGCCATGTTGCTTCTTCTAAGCAACAGTGTTTTTGTATGTTATTGTTATCACTCAGAACTCAGGCTATGTAATGATGAACAAATTCAAATGATATGCCAATGACTTGATTTGTAGACTTTGGAAGAACAGGTGGGGCCATGATGCAAGACAACCTTAACAACGCAAATTGGAATGCTAATCCATGTGCATCTCTTCCAGATACATGTATCCAAACTTGCAATTGCATGGATCGCGTTGCAAAAGATGCAACTTCGAAGTTGAAAAAATTGCAGAAGGCGTGGTTCACCTCACTTTGATTTGTTTCAGTGTGTTGCTGCTACGTTAGAATTGTCCCTTGCATTGAAATCAGGTGGGAGTTCAGGTTGTCAATGCTGCCAAGGACGAGCATGTCACGCATGTTGTAGCACGTTCATGAGATGATCTGCACCTTTTGCGTCAGGAGCAGGGCTATTTCGAACCAATTTGCACACAACGCCATTTGTCGGTCAGGCACTACACCTTTGATGTGTTCAAGCAACTCGCTTGCACAGTCAAATGCAGTGGTCCTGGTCAGTGCCAGCATTCCAAGGTATTGTGGAGACATTGTCCACGTACTTGCGCCTCACGGTTCAGAATCACATTCAATTTGTTACTCATTCACGGGTGCAGAATTGAGTTCTATTTTGGCCCTTTCCTGCTGAGGCTGGTACTTTGTCTTGCGGTCATCCTCCGCGACAATGGGACCGGAGGAATATCTTTCAAAACTCACATCCTATACTTCATCGTGTTCACAGCACGCTTTTCCAATGTCTTCTTTTGCTTGAAGCTCAGATTCCTTACCGATTTCAAACATTTCTGCTCATGCCATTTCTCATCTTCATTGAACGCCCAGGTGATCAGTCAATATACCTTGTGATCTACAAGGCTTGCTTTTGCCAACCCCTCTATTCTTGCCGCAAAACTGCCTGAATTGAATGCCGTCGCATGTGTGCACACCTGAGCTTTTAGCTTGCCTAAACGTTGATCATGGACAGTGTCGAGGTGCTTCTTTGGAGTGCTACTCTCAAAATTGTGCTGCTCCTGTACATATTTGGAGCAAGCACAGATCTTGGACACTGATGAGAATGTGGCTTTCTTGCAGAGATTTTGCGCTTCGATACAGCGGCATCGAGGTGTTGATGAGAAGGACACGCTGTCTCTATCGGCGGTTTCTTATTGACAATTAGACGAATCAAGCTTGTCAATCTTGAAGATGTATGTTGAGCCCAAAGCATTTTGTGCTATGCGTGCCTTAAACAACCAAGGCGCTGTTCATGATCATTGTGATGACACTTGTGTTTGGAGTGTACTCTCTGGAAGATCATGGCTTGTTTGTGGAGATCCTTTGGATTTTCTCCACTTATTTAGAAAGTATTTCAATGCTACCTCAGCAACCAGTCACCAATTGATGACACTGTCAGAAGCCCAACAAAAGTGCCAAATGTTGCGGTGACTGCGTATTGCCTCGTGCATTGGAGATTGGTGTCTCTAAGGTACATCTATTGCTACAGGCGAGCAGGCTTATTTGGTTTGTTTGATTGCAGCATTGTTTTTTGCACTTTGGCTTCTGTCAGTGCCCCGAAAGAACTGCAGGGACGTGGACAACAAGTGCCCGCTGGTTTCCGCCTATGTTTTTGCAATGGGTGGCTATCAGATGGTGTTTGGAGTCAGTTGGGGCCATCATTTCCTCTTCAGACCATATGACCTTGATGTGAGCAGTATGATATCTGGCTTACTTGGTATTGTCCAGATCTCAGGAAACTTTGACAAATTTGTTCAAGTGATTCACGGATTCTCAGTACAGTGCAGGGATTCCTTCAAACATGCTCATCCAATGTGTTGCTGAGAGGTCTTCTTTTGTGACTATTTGACATTCCGCTTGATGGGAGCCTCTATGCTGGTCAACTCCTGAGCGAAGAGGATCGTTTGCTTCAACAGCATACAATCCAACTTTGTTTCAAAACAAATTACAACAGCCTAGATTATAATACACCAGCACACTATGTAAGTTGATGTAAGCTGTAATACTAGTATTCCCTCAATCTCCGTTTCTTATTGGATTTCCCGTGTCCCGTTTCCCTCAAAGATCACTGTTTCGACCATGCAAAGGTTAGCCGCTATTGTGTTCCTTGGGCCCTTCATGGCCTACCCCGCAACCACAATCGTATATGTATATACATGTACACATGATATGTATAGCGCGACTTGCAGACTCGAGCTAGCCACGGCAGGATTGGCAGTGAACTGCGAGTAAACCAGAAACCAACAAACACAAGGATCCGAGGTCCCCTTCGGCCGAATGCACCTCCTCCATCAAAGAAATGTCACCTCAAGCCTCCTGGCCATGTCCAGTGTTCTGTGAAGGGGCCTCACGGAATAGGCCTGTGCCAAAAATTCCCTCACCTTGCAATCAAAACTGGAAGGCCAACCAACTTAAAACGCAGCCATTTGTCTGAAGATATGAATTTCCAGCAAAGAAACAAATCAAAACCTAACTCACGACAAACACCATACAAAATGCTCCTAAAAAGAGTCAAATCTCCAGACCATGTCTGCTGGAAAGTTGCAGCCAATTGATGGCTAGCTGGGATCCATCATTCGAACAGGGAGCTTGTGCTCCGTCGCCAGCATTCGCCAGCCTCCATTCTTAAACTATAAACAGCTCCAGGTGTGAAATCAAACCCTCAAACTCAGCACAACAGTCAACCCACAACAAAATACGCATGATCGAACAAACAACTTCACACCCGAATCCAACCGCCGCCACAGTTGGCAGCCATTGACAAGCTTCTCTCAGGTGATTTAGAACGCACTTGGAGCCTGCCGAAAGCAGGTTATGTTTCTTTATACAATACATTTCATTAGCAAAGGGCTTGTCATTTTGGCTCAAGCTTGATTCCAAGTGAAAACACTCGCTTTCCCTCCTTCCCACTCTCCTGTTTGACTATCATTATCTATTTGATAGCCATGGCAGGAACTGGCAACACGGGAGAGTTCTTGGATTGGGACATCCTTGATGGAGCGGACACGGTGTCCTCCTTCACCCTCGCTCCCTCGGAGGCAGCAACCCTGGACAAGAAGGTCTTCAAGATGGAAGAGGAAGTCATCGAGAGTGCGGGATGATGCCCTGGCACGTGCCATCCTTCCCAAGGATGACGCTGAATCCGTGATCTCCGCAGACTTTGTCAAGTGTGAACTTCCCACCCTTGAAAAGGTCCAAGGGAAGTTGAACGATGCCATGTCGGCTCTTCATGTGGGTGCTCCCGCCCCCGACGGCACAGGCGCCTGCATGTGGCCCTGAAAGCCGGACGGAGGGGGATGTTTCTGTGTCGTCCTCTCCACCTACGGCACCTCTGGCGCTGCTACTACATTGTCGCCTCCCACATCGTCACGTTCGCACGCGGGCCTTGGCTGTGTCCTTTGTGGAGGAGCCGGCTTCTGCTCCCCTGCTTCGGGTGGGCTGCAGTGCGAGGTTCAATGATCTGCAGCACACGTGCCCCTCCATCGCACCGAACTACTCCTTCACGCATGGCTGGTGGGGACCTTTGGTAGTGCTCTGGAAGAAGCTGGATGCCTTTGAGGGCATGGACTACCTGATCCCCACGTTGTCCACGGATGGCACTGGTTTCATTGCCGGGCCTTGCCGGCTTGAGTCGGCTCTTTAATGTGGGGTGGCGAGAGCGTCCGTAACCCCTTCAACCCCAAGAAAGGAGGCGGCAAGTGGAAGCCAGCCCCCTCTTGAACCCCAATCCAGCAACAGCGGAAGCAACGGCCCAAAGGGAACAAGCCCAGGCAGCAGTCCAAGGGCCCAGAAGAACCCCCAGGAAGAATAACCTTACTGCATGGATTTTCACAAGACTTCTCTCAAGCGAAGACCGATGCGCAAGCAACATTGAGGTTTTAGAACATTATCTAACCACTAGAAACAAAGCTCAACACCAGACGTCCTGTGTTGACCTTGGTTGGGACCCTATCCCCCAACGGGCCGAGAGCTGACTGGACCTCAAGCGAAGACGCAGTTGATCAAATTGACACACTGCCTCCACCCAAACCATGGGTCTGACTGGAACCAGTTGACGCACTGCTTGCGTCCGAGCCAGGTCGCAGTTGACCCAGTTGAGACACTGTCTCCATCAGAGACAATGGGTCAACGGTTGAGACACATCCGAGCCGATGGTCCTCGCAGAATGTCAACTGGGTCAACTGGGGCACCCTGTTCAACTGGGTCAATTGGGACCACAGATTTACCGGCCCCGTGCGCCGACGCACTCAACATATATATATATATACATTATATATATATATATATACAGTCCCCCTGCGTATTTCCACTACAAAATCGATGATGACGCCACCGCAAAGCAAGCAGGTGCTTTTTTAGAGAATGATCTGCCTATGTAGAGGGTGGTGTGTCAGAGGGTCTGATTTTATAGAGAACACCGGATTTTTTCGAGCCTCGATTCTGTAGAGGACTTTTGTGCATGAACACATGTCTTCGCAAACCAAAGAAATCTGATTTTGTAGTGAAGCCATGATTGATTTTTACATGTCAAGGGTCTCAATTCGATAGGTTTTCTATTTGCAGATGGCTGCTGTGTCTTTCAAAGGTCGCATGCCTGATGCTGGACATGTGTTTGCTCAACTGCTCTCGGGATCAAAGGGAGTTGATCCCATACAGGTCCTTATCAATCACGGACATTTTCTCAAAATAAATCATACATGGTCATGACGTGTCACAATATCTGGAAGAACTACATAGAGGAGTGTTAAAATAGCCCGGTCCATGCCGGCTTCAATTCAACCACAGTGGATGCAACAGGATGCAAGTGCTGGATCTCATACAGTGGTCTACTCGCATCTAACTGATCCATATTGATCGATCCTGTGTAAGATGATGGATATAGGTGTTCTATAAAATCAGTGAAGGTGACTTTGGCCAATGACCATGTTGGAATACTTTAAAGTTGTGGTAACTTTCATGCAGGAATAGGTTGTTAGAGGTCCTGTTTCCAACGTAGTCAAATTTTGCAACCCAAAGCCTGCTGAAAAACAACAGCTCGAAAAAACCTTGTGTCCTACGATTCTATAGTGTTTGTACTTGAAATGTGTACTTGTTTTCCATGTCCCCAACCCAATTCTATAGAGCTGGCCATGATTTTCTGTCTCACAATCCCCAATTCTATAGAGCTCAAAAGCCTCTCATTTTGGATGTCATATGCAACGTTTTATAGTTATAAAATCGGTGTACCCACCCCCTCATTTAATTTGAAGGAGGATTTTCGTATGTATGTATGTATGTTTATGTATATGCATAAGATTGCATAAGTATATGTATTTGCAAAAATGCATAATACATATCACTTAATTTGCAAACATATGTGTCTATATAATACTATATATCTTCAAAATCAACATACATATAATTTCCATTGATTGCATTTTCTGAGGTGCAAGTCTGCATCTCCGTCGATGACACCATCAAGGAAGCTGAGGTGTGCTGCATGAGACTTCCGTTTAGCATGGTCTGGGACAGTTCGCAGTGGACACGAACTCATCACTGGGTTATTTTGAAAATGCTTGGTAGCTAAGCTGGACAGGTGAGAAGTAACTAGCTTTAGCGTGGTTTTAGCATGCTGCTTAAGTACTATTCAAGCACTTTAGGGCTAAAACCGTTTTGCTCAGGTTCTCAATTCTTCAATCGAAGATGAACAAATTGAAAAGACTTGACACCAAAAACCGAAAACATTTAGTAACTTAAGATTTTAAACAAAGGGAACATCGAATTGTTTTTATCCGTTCAAGGAGGCTGCATGGAGCCTTGTGTCTGGCCAGGTTCCAGGCGGGAGACTTTCGCTCAACTTCATGGGTGAAAACGGATCAAGAAAGAGACCCAAGTTGAGCATCAACCAAACTGCTAGCGATTGCCTCCAAGCTAATAGCGATGGAACAGCAACCAAGAAACCTACCAACTGACCAACCTACTTACAATTACAATCACTTACACAGGTTAAGCCTTCTGCCAAGATCATGTGGTTTTGACCTTGAGGCAGGCCTCAGGAGTCAGTGAATCCAGAAGTGATTGGCCACAGCCACAGTGACGAGATTGAAATGGCAACAGCACTTGTCGAGTTCCGGAATCGCACGGTGTAAAAAGAAATGCACCCCATTGCAAGTCTTCATTTTTGACTACACTTGCCGTTAAATTTGTTTCCAAATGGACTGTTTCTCTTCAGTGGTTTGTTCTTGCAATCGCTCACAGCTCAACATTGATTTTCATGTACTGTTTGTCTTGACCACAGCGTTTTGTCCAAAAGAGTCTTCCGAAAACGGTGGGAAAAAACAACAGCATCGATTCTCACCGTTCCCATCTATGGAAGCTGCAGTCTGATGGAGCTGTTGAATTTGCTCAGACCGCACAAGTCTTCACAAGTCGTCACAAGTCATCACGATCGTTCGCATCCTTTCGCCATTTGCACTCCATTGTTCGCCCTTCTTCCGGTGCCATGAAATTTCTTGGGGTGATACTTGCGTGGCCATGTGTTCAAGCAGTCGACTGCCCAGAAGGGTATGGGTATGATTCTGCCACACAAACGTGCTTTGAGTGTGAAGCTGGCACATACATGAGCTATGAAAATACAACAGAGAATCTCACATGGTCTGTTGGCTGTCGACCATGTTTGCCTGGTGAATTCAGCGGAATGGGTGCCTCATTCTGCTCGACTTGTCCGGCTGGTCGATACAGCTGGGCTCAATCTGCAAGCTGCAGCTTTTGCGCACCTGGAACATACGGCTTGTCTGGTGTGAGAGATTGCACTCTTTGTGCTCCTGGGCGTTTTGCAGGTGCTGCAGGTTTCTCTGCGTGTTTGGAGTGCGATCCAGGCACTTATAGCACCAGCTACACGGGAGCAATGAGTTGTACAGATTGTCCAGTAGGTTCTTGGAGCCCTTCTGGTTCTACACGTTGCACTGCTTGCAGATCGGGTGAGTTTTTGGATGAGAATCAAACATGCAGCATTTGCCCAGCTGGCTACTTCAGCATCCAAGGGGCAACAGGTTGTACGCGTTGCTTGCCCGGGTCACGCAGTGATGCAGGTGCTAAAGAATGCATACCCTGCTCTCCGGGAAGTTTCATCACAGCAGAAGGTGCTTCAGGTTCTTGCCAAGATTGTCCAGGAGGACGTTTCAGTAGTATGGGCTCCACTTCCTGTGATGTCTGTCCATTTGGTCACAGCAGTCTGACAAGATCAGAGAGTTGCATCCCGTGTCCAACAGGGCGCTATGTTCAAAATCCGGCGGCACCTTGTGCAGTTTGTCCAGCGGGAACGTTCAGCACTGGTAGGACTGATAGTTGTACTGCATGTGAAGCAGGCCAATACAGCACAGCTGGCTCCGGAGTTTGCCAAGACTGCAAAAGTGGTACGTTCAGTGGAGTTGCTTCCGAGTCATGCTTGGAATGCCCAGCTGGTTCATTTAGTAGCACTGCTGCGGCAGAATGCCAAACCTGTCCATCTGGTTCACGCAGCACGGCAGGTTCTGAAAAGTGTGAAGCTTGTGATGCCGGGAAGTTTGTAGTTTTTCCTGGAGACCCAAACTGCGAAACGTGTCCTGCCGGCACCGCAAGCACCAGAGGCTCTTCACAGTGCACTCCCTGTGAAGAGGGCTTCTACAGCCCTGCGGGTGCACGTGAGTGCTTTCAATGCGCACCTGGCAAATTCACTGCTGATCAGTTCAAAGGGATTCATTGCGTTGATTGCCCGGCTGGTACTTGGAGCAGCTTTGCATCGAGCAGTTGCTCTCCGTGCCCAGCAGGCACAAGAAGTGACATCTCAGCAGGTGCGTGTGAGACCTGCCCTGCAGGAACGATTATGGTGAGGCCAGATCAGCCTTGTGAAACATGTCCTGCTGGCACATTCAGCAATGCTGGTGCAGTTGTTTGTGAAAGCTGTGAAGCTGGCACGTTCAGCAATGCGTCCTCAAACCAATGCTTTGACTGCCCTCCAGGAACGATCAGCAGTATTGCATCATCTTCTTGCTCAGATTGTTCCAGCGGGAGATATAGCCCCAGAAGAGCCGCTCTTTGTTCCCAGTGCCCAGCAGGCACCATCAGTGGCCCGGCTTCTGCAGTATGCTCAGCATGTCCCGATGGAACATTCAGTGGAGTAGCAGCGGAGAATTGCACAGAGTGTCCAGCAGGCACATTCATTCTGAGCCCTGAGCAGACATGCCAGACTTGTGCCGCTGGTCGCTTCAGCGGAGTTGCCTCAACAGCCTGTGAATCATGTTTGCCAGGCACGTTCATCACAGACCCAGCTTCAAACTGCGAGGACTGCTCCCGCGGCACCTACAGTGGGGTTGAAGCCACATTTTGCCATATTTGCAACAATGGCCAGTACAGTCCGCCTGGTGCACGTTTTTGCTCGGATTGCCCCGCTGGGACATTTTCTGAACAGCCCAACAATACTTGCAGTGATTGTCCAGATGGCGAGTGGAGCAGCGCTGGCTCGCCTCAGTGCACTGAGTGCATCCCTGGTCGCTTTCGGGCGAACCAGTCAGGTTGCACTAGTTGTCCACCAGGCACTCGCAGCGGTCAGGCAGCAACTGAATGTGATGAGTGCCCAGCAGGACGGCTCCCAAGCAGCACAGAGCAGGCAAGGATTCAACACTGTAACCATCGTGTTTGAGGGGACTATTCAAGAACTTTTGTATCAAAAGGTGTTTCAGGATTGCTGTTTTGGTATTCAAGGACAATTTCAACTTGGTGCGGCCGGTAAGGGCGTTTTTGATTGTAGGACGGGGCGAGGGAGGTGCGTGTCAGGGCTGGAGATGTTTGGATTGTGGAAGTACTCTTCATGACCTGCAACACCGCACGACTGGATTTCCGTGATTGAATGTTCGCAGTTTGCTCCAACACATTGAAGCCTAGAGCACATGTCATAGGCCGTAGGCTTGGAAGCCTCAAGAAACTCGTTGCAAGAAACAATTTCTGGATATATAAAACATGCTAAAAGGCTAAAAGGCGTACCAAGATGACACTGTTTCAGAGAGTGTAGTGCTTCTGAGCCCAAGGTTCAGCAGAGGGTCAGCTTCCAGTTGTGATATTTGCCGCTGCCTTGGCTACACCTACACTCTGCAAGTCGACGATGCAAGAAAGTAAACCCATGAAACCGCAAAGCAGCACTCCGACCTTCCTGTTCTGATCCAATTTGTGCTGATAATCGTGCTCAAACTGTTTGGCTCAGATCTAGGTTCCAAATCCTACAGTCAAAGCATCAGACGGTCACAATCAGTTGTGTGATAGCATGTGTGTATATATGTTTACTGTATATACAATAGTATAGATCAGATATTCCAAGGTGCTGCTGGATTCTTCAGTGATGCTGGTTTTGGCGCTTGCTTTCCGTGTCCTCCTGGAAGCTTCAGTGAAGTTGCGCAGCCAGCACAGGAGAAGACTGATGCTGTCGTGAGTTGCTTTTTCCATGACAAGAGATATCCTTTCCTTTTCCCTTTTGTATTATTTCTTTTCCTTCATTCAGAATTCATTAATTCTTTCTTTCTTTTCCTTCGACAATTTTGTGTGTGTGTGTGTTTTTTTTTAGACTCTTCCTTTTTTCTTTGCAGATTTGCTTCCCTTCAGCTCCTTCTGTTAACATGAAAGCAGAACCAAACTCGTGGATATATATATATATAATGTGGATTGGGGGTTTCCCAATCACACACTGGTAGCCACTGGCCT